GTTTGTTGAGACACTTTTGAACACGTCTATTCAACACAATGGCTGTTATCGAATGAGTTATTTGTTTAGAAACAGTCCCGAGCATCAACTGAAGTGACTTAATGTGAGAGACGAAAGTCTACGTGTAAGCGCTCGTTAAGGGGGTACATTAGTGTACTGCTTTAGTAATAGTGATAAATTATTCCGCTGCTAACAGATAGGAATCTACGAACGTTAGTAATTGGAGCACATGTCGTGTCGCGCTATCTATAGTCAGGGCGCGACGGTTTTGTTTACTATTTTGTGCCTTCCAAATGGACACTATGAATATGGCTTCTTTATGACGTCATTTTTCATTAATTTCCTTGCATTTTATCTCATGGCACTTTTCAATTATTCTAACTAAGTCAATGTATTGTAGGGTTTGTTTATACGCCTTTCTGTATATATAAAAAAAAATTGCTGTCGTTAGTCTCGCTAAAACTCGAGATTGACTGAACGGATTTATCTTATCTTGGCCTTGAAATTATTCTACAAATTATTGGTCTATTAGAAACATGGAGAACTATTTAATTTTTTTTTCATTCCACGCGGACGGAGTCGCGGGTGACATCTAGTTCGAAATAAAAATTTGAAAGCGAATGATGATGTATTCAAATTACTGCAAATCTTTTACAGAATTTAAAAAGATTTGTCCGAGCTTCTTTAACTGTCCGCTAAAATGATTTGGACAGAGTTTCACCACATCTTTTCACTTTGTAACAATGGAGAAAAATTCACCCGTTATAAGAAATGCAGCCACAATGCATCCCAGAATATAATGTATTGCACGGAGACGGCGTACAAAGTTTATGGTCTATTCTTGTTCCATTATGGAAGGAAGATGTGAATTTACCTTTTATGTAAATGTGAAATGTATGAGATGCAACTACCTAATGTGGAAAGGTCTTTATTTCTGGATTAAGTACATTCCATGCATTTACAGTATTAGAAAATTTTAAAAGTGTTCTATTTTTCGGTTTACGTACAGAAATGTTGAACATAAAAATACATTGGTATTGCATAATAATATCGCTATGCATTCGCTTGTTACAAAAGCTATTCAAGCTATAACATAATCATTGCTTGAAAATAAAATTTATTAAAACAATAAACAGCGCAGTACAATCAAAAATGCATGTAGAAAATCGTCAATAGCCTAATGGTTAAGGGTACGGATACCCGATCACGAGGTCGGGGGTTCGAATCCCGTCATTCGACTATTGTCGTAAACCATATTCTAGCACAAGCCTATACCTTTGTTGGAATGGTAAAAGAAATATTAGTAAATTTACAAAAATAAAAATGTTAAAATTTAAAAAAAAATTATGTACAGGTCAAAAACATGTTGATACGAATGCGTCATCGATTATTTTCTTTTCAAATAAAATTTAATTATTTAATTATCAATTATCATTAACATTGAAACAAAGGAGAACATTAGGAATACGATGTTTTATTAAAACCAGCACAATTCTTAGGGAGACAGATGTTTCTAAAATTAGAGTGACGAGGGTTGGAAAAAGTTGACCGTTACGGGACGACTATAATTGTTGGGACACTTCCACTTGTTAGTTTGTCTTAACTAAATTGGAGAAACAATATGTACGTCTATACAGTTACAAAAGAATCAATATAAACTTAATTGGCAAATTCCAAGATAAGCGAAGCTAACTGTACTTTTTTAAAACAAAGAAAACACCAGTATATATATATATTAGAGTATTGAATTTTGTTCCATTTTAATGAATTAAATCATCTTATTTAAACATCATAAAGCGTCAATAGCCTAATGGTTAAGGGTACCGATATCCGATCACGAGGTCGGGGGTTCGAATCCCGCCATTCGACTAATGCCGTAAACCATATCCTAGCATAAGCCTAGAGCTTAGTTGGAACGGCAAAAGAAATATTAGTAAATTTCCAAAAAGAAATCTGCTAATATTTTACAAAAAAAACAAAACCATGATATACAATAATCTTTAAGCAAACTAACTAACTAAAACTAACTATTTTATAGTACAAATATTTGTGTTGATGTGGAATTGCATCTAAGAACCTCTACGTCACTACTTACCACAAAGTCAAGCCCTGTTTGTGTTGTTTGCTTAGGCTTCGTCATAACAATAACGTTATACTACTAATAATCCGTTAGGATTACTTGTAAATCATTGTCTAATAGTTGCTTGGCACAACAATGAAGGATTAACCCCAATTTTGAACTACATACAGGATTCTATCGTGAAATGAAAGTATAGGAAAGTATTTTTAAAACTCTATTAAATTCTTAAAAAAATATGTTCAATTTTGCAACATCAAAATGTACGCAAATTTATTATTTAAAAATTATGTTTTGTTTTTTTTTTAATATCAGATAATTTTACGGCTTAAAATTTACTATAAATAATTGTAAATATATTAGTATTTAAAAATGTTATTGAATATATAAATTCACATTGGAAATAGTTTTAAAATAAATTAGTAATATGATTATTATTAAATTACATATAATATTATTCCTCGGCGGTATTTCCAAACCATTACGACTTAAGGACCTTCAAGAAGCGAGCATACCATTTCCTTAAAGGCCGGCAACGCATCTGCAGTTCCTCTGGTGTTGCAGATGTCCATGGTTGTCGTTGATCACCTCGGTGTTCCCGCCGCTCGTTTGCCCCTACTCTTATAAAAAAAATACAAAACAATGGACCCCATTTACCAGCATCTTTGAATTTGTTTCGAGACTGCATCTTAATGAGACTACATTAAATGAATAGACAAATGGAAAGACTATTAAGTGCACATGAATAAAGAACTTTAGATTTACTTATTGTTTAAGTAACGTGACTCTTTTGAATTAAATTACTCCGATCTGTCTACCCTAAGATCCTTACGATACACCGTCAACAAATTATGATGTATTCAAAAATGACTTGTCGTATACAAATTTGCATGACCTGACCTCTTTTGGTATCGGGGGATACAATATCTTTTGAAAGGAAGACAAGGTTATATTAGACTGGACGCAAAACTCTTCGGCCATTCTCTAGTGCCACTAGAGAGAGTTCTGAGAACTCTATAGGAACGCACCTGGACAGCAGAATATGAACTTTATTTCAAGATAATGGAATTATTACAGCCTTAAATTTCAATGGTACTTTTATAAGTAAAAACATTTTATAATTTTAGTCAACAATTGATCTAATCTTTATTACTAAGAAAGATACAACCTCTTTGTAACTTAATATTCTAGCCGCAAATTAAAATTCAAAACTACTTCTAAAAAGAAGATAAATTTTCATAATAGGATCAAGGAAAAAGTAAGCTTCGCTTACAAAAACAATTCTGCAAGAGTTTAGGTGAAACGAAACGATATTACTTGCTTCATTTATCAGCTGAAAACGAGGGAAAGAGAGAAACATATGCTGCTTGAAATGGGCGGAGCTTCCAACAGCCTTTAGGTATAAATATTAGGCATTTCCTGTGAAAACTATTTACTGAAACTTTATACTATATGAAAATTAATGTTGACCTAAATTTTTTACCCGGAAAAATCAATTCCTTCATATCGCCCGGAGTAGGGTTGACACAAGTAACAAAACTATCGCATCGCACATTTCAAAAAAAGAATATTAATTTTTAAAAGTAATGAAGGATCATACTAATATACTCAGATATGAATTAAAAGTGAAAATAAGAAAATAATAGAATAAACACCATCTAGAGTAGTATGCGTGGTATTAAGTAGTTACCCGGATTTATTTAATAGATAAGCGTTCAATACAAAATCATTTTTAAATAAACAACGAAATATAATCAAATAACATAATCGATAAACTTTAAAATCGATACTTTGACAGTAAAATCGATATTGTAACATGTTAGTGATGTAGACAATTAAATAACATCGATAATTCGGCATCCGGATCGCAGTAGATTCGTTCGCCGTCTCTATTTTCAAATCGTCGCCGTCGCACTGTGTCATTAGGGTGTAGACCGCATCGGAAATTGTCGCTGGAGTCGTGTGATTCCTATGTCGTTTATTTAAATATACAGCAATTCGTTACATTTAGATGTTTTTGTGTTTACATTTTTAATCGATTTTCATCTATTTCGATTCCTAAATCCAGACAGGATTATAAGTTAATGAATCAATCGTAAAAAAAGTTAAGTAATTTCAACTATTAGATTACTTAAGTTAAGACGAAAGACTTTTAAATAAATAAAAGATCTTTGTCTATTGTATAATTTTATGAGACAAAAATATTATTACCGTAAACTCTTTACTATTGGCTCTTGAAATTCAAGAAGCATTTTAGGACCCTTCTCGTCGCAGTAACAAGGTAAAACTCGGCGGACGAAAGGTTAAGAGGTCTGAAGTCTAAGTCTTAATAACCAGAGGTCGGTGGCCTTCGTATTGTTGGTACCAACTTAAGTAATGGTATCTCTCTTTCTCAGGTACTCTACAGATGCTCGGATTATTCTAATGGATCTAGAGATTGTAAAAATTCATAAAATTCGTTGTTGGATTTACATGTTGGAATTTTAAAAAATATATTTTATTTTTTTCTGCTAAATTATTCTACCTGAAGATTATTATGTCTTAAGCAATATTGATTGGTAGTACAACCTTCAAAAACAAACATGACCTAGACATTACATTTATTTGGCTCAACTCTCTGACTTATAGAACTTTCATAAGTATTGCAAATAACTTAAATTACTTGTCAACTTTTAGTAGGATTGAAGTTATGCCCAAGTACTAACATAAATCTTATTTTTCAAACTTAATTAACTTGATTACAATTTTTTTATCTTACAAACTTTTAAACAAACTATTTGTTTTTCGATTTTATTACGATTAAGTAATAAATAGGTTACTAAAAATAATTATTTTAAAAAATAAAAACTTTACTAACACCTACAATTCGCTCTGTTTAGTTAAAGTTTGTTGAACTTAACAATATTTTTTTTATTTCTTTCAGATGAACCGAGCAATACAAGTGAAGCCGGCGGACAGCGAAAATAGAGGAGGTAAATATAGATACCTAATTAGTATTATTAAGTTAAGAAAATTAGTCTTAAAATCATGCTCTATTTTAAGCAATAATTATTAAAAAAGATCCCATACGCACCAAAATAGAATGATTCATAGGTTTATCGTTTTAGGCATATCTAGAAGTTATGTAAAATAAGTTCACCTCATCTATTAAATAATTAATTCTTATATTTTAATTATACAATTTTAAAGGATACGTGACAATAGATTTTTAAAATTAAAGCAAGAAAGGAAGTATTAAAAGGCAATTTAATTTCTGAAAACCTCACCACAATACAAACAAACGCAAAGTTCTATAAATTATAGACGAAGTACCGGAAGATCATTAGTAATAGTTTTCTTTAAGACTTATCTACAGTTTAATATAAAAACATTTCAATATGGCTTTTTTAACACAAAGTAAACAATGTATTATAACAAATCAATCTAATCTTAACTAAATAAGTTATTTTAACTTGTTCGCGAACAATTTTATAAATAGTACAGACCTCAACAATCTCTATTTCAGTGGCCAGTAGTAAGGGGTACTCCGAATGCAGAGTAAAATTTCAATAGCACAACTAGATTCGAACACTAGACGATTAAATTCAAAAGTCGTTGCAATATTCCTCGTTTCAGATATTTACTTTAGGGGAAATCGAACACATGATACCATATTTGTCTGCGTATAACACGACTAATTTAAGTGGTAATAAAACTTATAACAATTGGTTAACAAATTACAGAGATAGATAATTAGGATAAGTGCATTAGTTGCTGATAGCATTTTATTATTTATTACGTCATTTTCATTAGGTTATAAAGTTAGTATATTAAACTATCTTTATACGTCAGATATCGTTTAAGACAGTAAAACATTAATATTAAGATGTAGGGCGTGTTTTGGAGAGTCACGTGGTCCGGGTCTGAGAGGCTCGTTGGATAATAGACACGTTTGCCCTCTTCAATTGAAGAGGGTTGCTTTTAGCTTACATTCAACCGCAATGACAAAGATTCGTATCCGAGTGAAAAAGTTAAGGCGAAAAAATTCATTTCTTCGGCCCAGATGTTAATATTTACGATGACTATTCCGTGCTTCATATCATACTAATTTTATAAATGCGAATGTTTGCATGGATGGATGGATGTTTGTTTGAAGGTATCTCCAGAAAGGCTGAACGGATCGCGATAAAATTCGGCATACATATAAAACATAGTCTGGAAGAATACATAGGCTACTAATTATATTTTTTTTAATTCCGCACGGACGGAGTCGCGGGCGATGTTCAATGTCAAAACATTTTCAAATTAATTTAAACAAAAATATAATATTCGATGTTTGGAATGATGGAAAATTCGAACAATTTATTTCTATCAAAGTATTCATATTTTATGCAAGGGGAAACTCTCGAAGGCCCATCATGACCATTAAAAGATTAAATATTGATGTTGCATGTTCCCCAAATTGAATAACGTCGAAGAATTAAAGCGATTGTTATTTGAGACGTCAGAATGAGTGACAAGGGGTATAGGTAGTTTAGAAATATGGAATTGTATACCACTTCGATTATTATATTACACCCACGTTAACTGTTTGACCAAAGTCATCTTAACATCATACTAGTATTATAAATGCGAATGTTTAGATGGATGGATGAACGGATCTTGATGAGATTTGGCACAGATGTAAAACATCATCTGAAATAACACATAGGCTACTCATTACAGTTTTTTAATTCCGCGTGGACGGAGCCGAAGGCGACAGCTATTACTCAATAAAATGACATCACAACATTTTAAAACAAATTTATTCCTTTAAAAAAAAATTGTTTGTATGTAAGTAACCGTCCAATGTTTCAGATGAGGTTGAATGAACAATTTCTGACGATTTCTTCAGACATATCAATAATATTTGTAGATGTGTGTCGCGAGCCCTCAGACCCGGGACGGTTTAATAATTCAAACGGTGGCCATCGTCAAATAGATCCCAACCGAACCCCTAAGGAAATTATAGAAACTTAAATATGGAATAAGTTAGTGAAGGGACAGGGTAGTTAAAAGCTACATTAATATCGATTGTAACAGTGATATTTAAACACAAAATATTCAATAAAATCTTCGTATATAGAAATTATACAAATGTAAATATAATAAATCATTATATTATACTTAATTCTCAACCAGACAATCACAAAGACTTTTTTTTGAATGAATAATGAATGTAATCTTTCCATCATTTCGATAACTTACACCTTGTTAGATATTGATAGACAATTCGCGTGACACATGAAAGAATCGTGCTTTCAAATAGGCGACATGACAAATCACCTTCTTCACAGCTTAATGACCCTTGCACCCAATCATCTAGCGCAGTAACACGCACGCCGCTCCGTCTATCGAAATCTTGTTGTATTATTCATAATTGATCGATAAGTTAAGCGACGGCACATCACTAAAGCATCGCTTTGATGAGGTCAGTTTAATTACACTTACTGGTCAGACCCGACTTAAATTTGATTGGTGCGTAAAATATTATATTTGACTATAGAAATTTACGTATAAGGAATTTCGAATCCCGCCAAATACCAATGTGTTTTTCGATATTCGATTTACATATGTACATTTATCCGACGTTCTTACGGTGAAGGAAAACATCGTGATGCAACCTGTACATATCTGCGAATAAATTTAGAGATATGTGTGAAGTCAACCAACCCGCATTTGGCAAGCGTGGTTGACTATGGCCTAAATCACCCCAAACTTAGGGTAGGCTCCGAGCCCCTCGGTGGGGACGTATAGTGAGCTGATGATGAAGATGATGATGATAGATATATATGTTACACAATTATCGATATACATACAAATGATAGGGGTTATCAACTATCATATTACATCCATATATATGTTTTAAAGATCAACATTGTGTCTGACACCGGTAAAATATTTTTTTATCCCTAGTACTGTTTTATTTATAACAATATTATAAAGATTGTTTTGAGGAGAGATTGTTTTATTAAATAGTCTCCGAAACTACTAAACCGATTTGAAAAATTATTTTACTGTTGAGAAGCTACACTATCTTCGCAAGACATAGGCATATATCTTTTTTTTAATTCCGCGCACACAATGCCGCGGTCTATCGCTAGTATGAAATATAAAGTAACGTTTCTAAATGTTAAAATAATATAATTAAACTAAACGTAAACATACAATAAAGAAATCACACATCAATAAAATTCCCTTTTAAAATTTAATTCCATCCAAAAAGCGTATAATTTTGTCACGCACTGCGATGAGCTATCGCTAGTATAATTTAATTTCCTAATACCGCCGCCATGTCGACGAGTTTACACAACCGAATTGCCGGCAAATATAACTAATTGATGTAGGCACTCATTAGAATTACGTTGTAAATATGAGGGCACGAAATACTTTCATGAATGAGCGACTGTTAACTTTGCGCGGACTTTATTCAGCGCGCTCGGCACGCCATCTATTCGATTAGTGTTCCAAACGCTTGTGATGTTATTTTGAAGCTATTAATCATCCCGCAACGGATGTAGTCGAAATATTTATTTGGTATTTTCTACTAGAGATTATGATGTATCAAACATTATAAAATGAACAGGATTGTTCGTGTGTGTTTATTACTGGACGATTTAAAAGAATACGTACCGGTTGTAAGAAAATGGGAGTAAATCTCATAAAAAACTGCGAACGGTATCGAATACATAATAAATAAATTCCAACTACTTATAAATAAGTTTGGATGGATGTTTGTTTGAAGGTAAGAATTACCGGCTGTTATAAGAACGGCTGCATGGATCTTGCTGAAATTTGTATAGATGTAGAGCTACATAAGTCTTTTTAATTCTGCGCGGACAGAGTCGCGGGCGAAAGCTAGTTCAAAACTAAACTATAGTAATAAATCTTTTTTCATCTTGGGAGTTATTAACAGGCAACTAAGGCCTATAACATTTTAAAAGCTTACATTTTATAACAGAATATGAATGCAATTGTTTTTAAGGCTTGTAATATTTAACAAACAATCCTATTTAATTGGAAGCGCGATACGACGAAACGTTTTCAGCAATAGCATTTAATTGCGAAACTATCTTCGTACAGAACAATACTCGAACGTGTGTTGTTACAAGAATTATAGAGTAGTATTTATTTCAACAGCCGTGCTGAGAGCTTTTCGAATGAATGCGCTTATAAGCCGGGTGAAAAACGCAGTACAAATTCGAGTATTCTCGAAACGAATGGATACAGTTTCAACATGATTATTTTATAAAACAAAAATGTGTTCTATTGAAATCTATCCAAACTTATTAATATGGAAAAACAATCAATATAAATATTCGATGTTTGAGATTGATCTTAAAATTATTTTAACTTCGATGTTCCTCTCAGCAATACAGCCGTTACGTCTATATAGTGAGATATTCAATATGTTAAGAATTAACGTAATACATACTTATAATTGTTTAGGCAATGTATTGTGTACAAGTTTAGTTGAGTTGGATCAAATATTGGACTTCTTTAGAGTTCACAAGGCGTACAAGAACAGGGCGGTGGGCGTAGATATTGGCTGTATCCCGCTGACGCAAAGGCAGCGGTGAGAAAGTAATATTGTATAGGAACGGGATCGAAATGGAATTGCTGCGGTTTCAGTTCGGAAGTTGCCGTCCTGCGGTTGACGAGGAACCAAGGCCCGATACCGACTAGTTGTTGTGCTTCCTTCAATATTACGATGTTCGATATTTGCTTATTGGAAGTTGACACGACTATGTTACAATAATTTAAAATAAAATCATTGAACCTCCTTGCTCTTTCGGTTTTAACACTTTCAATGCCACAACGATTTTACGTATTTGAACTTGAAAGGCCACAATAAACAGTGGCGTGTGACGTGTTAATTCTACTTCCACGAATAAAAAAGCAATGGAAATAATTTACAAATTACCTCTCTCTTAGTTTCGCGGAACTTTATCCT